ATCTCTACCTATTGATAACCCAAAGCACACTTCAATTAGTATAATTAGATAAAGCCATTTATTGCATAATCCATGAATCTGTTGCAATAAAAGTACTTTAAAGCCACCCTTGGAACTTAAACCACCTTATAGAAGACTATATAATCAAATCATTATAATATGGCACACCCATGTGCACCTTGGTGTACAGTTCCATTGAATTTGCCCAATCTTATAAATGACTTCAATATTCTTTTTTAGATACAAAATCATTAGTGACAAGTGAAGAGCTTGTACTCAACACTGTAGCAACATTGAACAACTTGTCATTCTACCAGGCAGAAAATAGCGCCGTCTCACAAAGACATCTACATATCACAGAATGTAAGAACACTGCCTTTTATTATTCYCTTACTTTCAATTAATATTTCACAGTGATTTGGTTTCTTATTTCCCCTTCCTTAAAATCCTGTTATTATCTGCATGTAGATACGCTGCCTAACAAACATTCTCTTTATATAGCTCTGTTGTCACTATTACTTCCTGAGAATATGGACGCCATGGTTGAAGCTTCAAGAGTGTTTGGCAATTTAACCAGAGATAAAAGCGTTAGGAAATTACTTGCTGATCAGAAAGGTATAAAGTACAATGATGATGATTGTTATTGTGATGATTATATATTTATTTATTTTTAGATATGGCCGCAAAACACAAGTGACAAATCTTACAAACACATATTAAAAACGCGCGCGGTAAAGGGGAATTTGTCCAGATTGGAACGGGGACGTTTCTTTGGTGGTACCTAATATAAACCCTTAACCTATTCAAGACCCGAAGGCCAAAAACCATATTCTATTTTTTGGAACGTCCCCGTAAAGCAAATATAGGGAGTACCCCCCRGGATTGAAAACTGCTTAAAATAAAAACGCTTAGTCTCCCCGAACCTCCACACACATTCACGTACTTATTTTAATAAGTAAAATTAAAATGTAATCCACTGTCATTGTAATGCTGATATGATTGTATTTGTGTAGTTGATGAGATCATGATAGCATTATTGGATGCTGGTGAACGAGAGACAGTGTTTACTGCGTGTGGAGTACTTATTAACCTGATGACTGATGCTGATATCAGACCCAAACTGAAGTTAGAAGGAGGCGTTAAAAAGTATGTTAAGAATCCTTCGGTGTGTTTGTGGTYATTGAATCTCAGTATGAAACATGGTGGATTACTGGACTTCTTTCTTTCTGTAGGTTAATTGACGTTCTCCATGATTTTGGTAAGAATGATTGGCAGCTGTCAGCCATGGTTTGTCAGACTCTATGGAACTACAGGTTAGTGTAGTAAATGGTTTGCAGTCACCAGGGTGGAGCATGTTTCTAGTATTTGATGGTTATTGGGCGATTCTTTGGTTGAGTTTGGTTTTAAGCGTGTTGTTCGTGTATTTTTAGTGGCGACATCACAACATCGAGTGAAACGTTTGGAGAAGAAGAAGCAATAGAATTAATAGATGTACTCACAACCTACTTAGGTATGAATATTTATTGACATCAAAAAATATTAACATATGATAAATAATTTTAGAAAATTCCTTGTAATGCTAAAAAATACACACCTTTCAACTGAGCAGCATTTAATTGTCCATTGCTCGAAATAAAGAGGTGTCCTAAATGTATTTCTTTTTGAAAAATGTGTGGGAAAACTGCGGAGACCAAAATTTAGTACCCGTGTTAAAGAGATGTTCATCTTAGTGGGGTGTCACTTCACTGATGAGGGGGACTGATGAGGGGGACTGATGAGGGGGTTTATCGATAAACAAATCTGGCTTGTGACAGCTAAATTGCGTAAAAGTCAACAAAAGTTAGTAACACGTCAACATGTTATTGGATCATTTACGATTTTTATCATTTTTTCAGACGAGGAAGCAATGTTTGAAACATCAAGCATGGAGAACATGGATTCTTATTTGATTGAAACGCTAAGAGACATGTGGGAAGACGTCTTTTTACCTGTGGGTGAAAATTTACTGCGCAGAATCAAATCTCATCATAGTGATCTTGTGCCACTTGAATCACCAAGCTAGCATCTATTGTTCGTGGTAATCGTCCTGTTAGGCTAAGAATTGATAGATGCGCCATTTTTACAGATTAATGATTAAAGATCTAGCAGTTTAATAAGCATGGTGCGTTGTGCACATTGTCGAATAACGAAAGGATATTTTTATTTATTTGGTTTGAGGTTTGTTCCTCYAGTGTGTAGCTATAAATAGGAAAAAAAGGACATTTATTATTTTATGGTAAAAATCACATGTTCCGAGTAAGTCTCTGTGTTTCTATCCATCTTCGTCATGGTGGAGGCGAATATGTTTGTTTGTAAATGAATACACTGTCTCTTAATATGAACATTTCTCCTAGAAACACTATAAAATTGAGAAATTTCTTTTTCTTAAAAAATATAGACTAACTAAAAAATGTAAAATAAGTACGCAAAGAAAAAGTGTTTGTTACAAGATATGAGGATGAAGGTCGACTCTACTAGTTTTTCCTTAATATTGAAAATAGTTGCACAAAATGAGACAAAGTGTGCATTTCCTTAACTTAAGTTGGCCTTGGAAAACAACCGARAACCGAGTTGAACAAAATGCTGTAAATCGATAGAATACATTCCACTTGGTACAAAATAACAATCGTAGCTCAATGATCAACACAGATTTCTTTTTTTTTTCTTGCAAAATCGCCGTCAAAAGATTCAACTAATTGGATCATCAATTAACCAACAAGGCCTTCAAACATAAATGCAATGCTGTGGTACATTGTGATCTAGATAGCACAATGCAAAGCTAAATGCATGTTATAAAAATATTATGTAAATAGAAGAGTTAAACAAAGTGTGAATAAACTATTGTGCAAAAATAATGTGTTGAAACTCATGGAAACAACCTTTATATGGGAATAATACAGTCAACTGCATTAACGTTGAAAAGACATAACGACAACAACAAGGATATTTGCCATGTTTTTCCAATACCCTGCCAAGGTTTATCATGCTTGCAAGTTAAATGTTATTGACATTGTCATAAAGGTCTTGGAACTTGACGTTAAGTAATCTTGCAAAAAAAATACCATTATGATATATGCAAGTGAGTTGTTCTTCTGTTCTTTACAACTGAACAACGTTGACGGGTTTTTAAAGTGCGAGCAATACTGTAGGAACTAGCAAGGACAAGTTGTGTATCATCAATGCAATTTATTGAGATTTACCACTAGCATATTGTATTTTTCGTTTTTTCTCAACCTATTTCATACAACGCAAAGCGGTAATTAGCTTGGGCGGACTGTGCGACTTAATTAAATCATTTGTATCCACGTGAAATGAGAAATGATTGCATGAAATTAAAACCATCAGCGGTCATTTGCGTGATTGCGTCATTTTACATACAGACCACAATACTTTGCGAATTTTCCAGGTTTGTACTGACTTTTTATTCTTACAAAAGCAAGTGCGCAAATCATGCAGTTAATGGACGCCTTAACAGAGGTTTCTAATCTTTTCTATATGTTTTCCTTTGAATTTTTCGTAWTTTTTTCGTTGGTTTTTACATTTTTTTACGCGCGTCGGAATGCGCAAAATACAAACATCCCGTGCCCCCGCTTCTTTTTAAAGATTCAATCGATTCATTTTCCTTTTCTTTTTTCGAATAAACAGAAACGTGAAACAGAAAATCAGAAGAAAATATTTAACGCTAGTCTCTATTGGGGAGGAAATTAGACGAGACGCGATGCAAACAGGCAAGGTCTCCCATCATGCTATTCGCGCMRAAAGTGAGCCTGCTATATTCTACAGCGGTCTTCCGTTTCCAAGCAAACTTCRCGAATCATCAACAATGGCTGAAACGTCGAAAAAGATAAAAAACATTCTATTCTATTGGTGATAGCTCACAAAAAATATTAGATATCCATAATGTTTAAGCTAGGAATGTTAAATAAGGACGAGGCGAGGAAAATCTTGGAGAGTGCAAATCTACCAGGTATGAAAGCAGCAGACCCGAGACTAAAAACGAGTTTACCTGATATTAAGAACATAGAGCCTGGATACGAGAATATTTTGACACATTTGGTATAATAACATTTAGTTTCAACTCACATTATAGGCACCGTTGATAACAATATCAAATATTCCATGTACACAAGTACAGAAAGAATGGTGAGTAAACAAGATGCAGGATTGTCTACACAGAGACGTTAAGCTTATAAAAACTTACTGAAGTTACATGATGATTTTATAAGCTTATATAAACTCTAAATAAGCTTAAGTAAGTTATAGTACATAGCTACATTGTTTAAAATTYCTTTATTCCTATATAAAGAACCTACCAAATATGATGCAGGATTGTGTGGTATTGTAAGCACAGTACTCCATGTAACAATCTTATTATGTATCAAGATAAAATATAACTTTTGATATGAATTCTACAACATGTAGAGGTTAGCTTCTTGTATGAGGGGGAAATAGAGGTTTGCACTTTAATATGAAATATTTCATGGACTGTGGCTTTTGCAATTCATTAGACTCCAAATGGAATGTAAAAACTTCACAGAACTGAAACATTTGGGAAAGACCAGCCAGAAAATCATTCATAGACCACTAAAAAATAGTGTACTTTGTTAAACATTTTGAAGGTCTATTTGGTGTGCAATAATGAAATACTGTTTCAATTGATTTGTTTGTTGTTGTTGTTTTTTTGTGGGGTATTTTTGGTACAAATCTACATGATCTACATGCCGTMAATAATATCCTGTAAAAAATGTATGATTCCTCCACACAAGTCATTTATAAGCTGTTATTTATCTCGATAGAAAATCATCAGGGAATGCAAAAATACCAATGACAGGACTGTTGCTGCAGCAATAGAGATACAGCGCCACTGGAGAGGTCATCATGTAAGGTAATGTCAYATAATTGCAATGTACTGTAAGTAATCAAGTGTAAAATATGGATATAGGTACYGCTATTAGGAATAGATAGTTTTCTACAGCAGTTATCCATCAAAGCAATATTATTTATTAGGTATTAATTTAGTACTTTTTCATGCATTTTACAATGAATCCTTTGAATGTTATGTGGTTTACTAACGTTATCTCGTGTTCTCCCTGCCATTCTGCATGTGGTTTATTTGGCAAGGAAACCACAACAAGCCATCAACTTCATTGCTTACTGTTAATATCCATAATGTTTTTTTGTAGATCTAAATTAAAAGATATATTAAATCCCAAGCATACATCAGTGGTGCATATTACAAGGGATTCTAGTGTTGTTAGTACACCATGGACACCTGGAAATACTGAGGTAAGCATCAAACGTTTGTGAACTTTTTTGTCCTGGCACAACTATCATTAACAGGAATATCAGAAACTAGAAGGCTTAGCTCCCCATCATCTTCACCCACAATAATACAATAATTTACAATTGTTTTTCATTTTACTTGAAATGAGCGTATGAACCATAATATTTCACATTCTGACTAGTAATCATGTGTACGTAATATATCTACTACTAACTACAACATGTAACTGCAACATGCAAAAGAACCATAATTAGTTATTTATGAACAATGCACTGAACAACCCACTGTCACACTGCTTCGTGGACCATTTACAGTTTTGAGATTCCTCTTCATTCTTAGACTGATACAAAATRTACTTCTCAATAGGATCTGATGCATATCAGGGCAAAATATGACAGATATGTGAATAGACGCAAAGGCAATCTCAATCTTATGAGGTAATATTACAAAGGATAATTCTGATTAATGATGGCAGGCCTTTCTTTTTTTTTCCCTGTCTTTTTCCCAGTCCTGCTGTCTTACTGATCAAACACAGGAAGCCCATTTACTTTTAAAAAGAAAAAAATGCCTGTAGAGTCGAAATGGAATTATACCGACTTGTAGACTTGAGAGTATGAGATAATGGGACAATTTCTCTGTCTTTAAGCTTTAGTGAATTCTGTGCATATGTTATTCAACGTTGGTGGAGAAAGATATCAGGAAGACCGCCCAAAGAAATCTCAGTGTACCCAAGTGCACCCCCTCCAACCACAAATGGCGAGCCCAGCCCTGTACCACCATTACAAACACCTGTAGAATCACCAATCTCTGGAGAAGACAGTAGGGTTACATCAAGCAAGACAAGAGATTCACTATTGATGATTGATAGGAATGAAGCTGCTAAAGTTATTCAAAGGTCTTGGCGTAAACATATCGTAAGTGTTTATTCAAACCATGTCAGTGTTAAAAGAGAAAGGGAAAAGGTGTSATGGGTGCTAATCMTCCTTCAGGCAGCACTTGTGAGTGCTGAATTGYRAAAGAYRCAGCTCGACRCRCTCTCAAGTCGAAGTGCTATATTACAGACACATTTTACAKAMACTTACACATAGGCATGCTTCTGGCTAGGCGCATGAGAAATGCTGAAGATTTGGTATTCATTGGTTTTGATATATATCATTAAAATCATTATGCTTTTGACATGTACAGGTCAATTCTTGACGCTACTGTGAAGACAAGAGTTTTTAAGGGAAGATTATATTTTAGAGAACAGTGACCATATACTTTTTCCTTCTTTCCATGTTTCTAGGATACTCAAGTCTACAGGTATTACAAAGATTTAATTAACTTTAAAACAAGAGGTGACCCAGCACTGATGTTGAGATGTATTAATCCAAGAGAAGTGAGTTCTAATCTCTTAAACATTGCTACCATGTTATTGATGCAACATTAAACTRTGACAAAAATCTTTCCCGCTATATTGATGTTGCATGTTTGTTTGTTTTGGATAAGTTTATCATGGTATTGGAGTATGCATATCACTAAGATGGCAAATGTTATTCTATAAACTTTTGAATATTGAAGATGATTCCTGGATGCATTCACTAGATTATACAAAATGTCCTGTCTTGGAAATGTGTATAATGCTTGCTGTTCACAAACTTGCCTATATCTCAATAATAASCAACAACAACAACACCAGTTTGCGTGTTAATGTCAATTCCACAGAGCATTTCACTGTCTGATATCATTTAATGGACTAATTAACAATTAGACCTCAAGKYTGAGTGGACTACGAGCTAATAGCCTATTAGGCCGAATGGGCTATTAGCTTGTAGTCCACAAGGCCGAGAGTTCTAATTGTTTTAGTATAAACATACTAATCGGTCAAATAATGAAAACAAATTGAAATATCCTTAAAATAATTTATTAATGAGATGACGCCATTTTGATTTTCCCGCAAGTGGTCTATCACAAATTAGACCATTAGTAGAGTAGCCAATCACAGTGCAGTATGAGTGATAGACCACTAATATACTAAAGGTTGTTATCTTTTGTAAATATGATGATGTGATATTTTTCTATCTGATCCAGGCAGACATCCTTGACTCTGCAGCTGGTGTCCACATCAAGTTTAGATTAGCAGGGGTAAGAATTACTAGTGATTATGTAGCAACAACAATTTGGCTATGATAGATTTTAAAGACATGTTGCTGATGACACCCAAAGATAGCCTGAACAGCTGCTGTCCAATGGTTTCTAGTGCTCAGCTGTACAGTAATTAATATAATGATGTTGTATTTAATATAATGATGTTGTAATT